TAAAACTAGTACTAATATATTTAGTTAGTAATATAATAGAATACAAACTAGTTAATATATTAGTTAGTAATATAATGAATACAAACTGTACTAATATATTATTGAATATAATGAATCAAAACTGTTAATATATTGTTGAATATAATGAATCAAAACTGTTAATATATTGTTGAATATAATGAATTAAAACTGTTAATATATTGTTGAATATAATGAATCAAAACTTTCAATATATTGTTGAATATAATGAATCAAAACTGTCAATATATTGTTTTAATTTTCAACAACTACGTTATTAGAGCAAAACGAGAAAACGTTTTCTTAGTAAAATCATTTTGGTGTTGTCGAAGGAACAGAGGGAATTTCTAAATGAGAGGTCAGAGCCCTGTCCTTGAAAAAGCTGACCAAAGGTGAAGAATGAGTTTATGTTGAAGAATGTTACAGGTCGTAAAAGTAACAGCAGGGCAGTTTACAAGTTATTCAATGCTGACTCACCTTGACAAGGACATTCCTTAACGTCTTAGATAAGGCCCTTGGCATTAACAGTAACAGAAACTGCTTTAAATGTCCACAGTTGACGACTTTACAAAATAGACCAGTCAGCACAATGGTCATAACTCACGACCACTACCAGTGGTCACCCGAACAGTCGCCAGATAAGCTATCTCTTCCAAGAACAATGACCCTCTGGCATCTAGGGATTTAACCCCAACCATCAGGAGGGCTCCTTTGCACTCACTCACCCACCCCACCCACAGAGTTCTCTTAAGCAACTCAATGGGTAACTAGAGCAGATAGTTAGTCTTTTAATCCTCTTGTTCACGTCAAGTGATGGGAAAGTATATTACACACGTCCTTTTATTCTTCTCACACTACAGGTACGCCATAACTTTGGTTGCTTTGATGAAGTTCAACAGATTGACGCCCGCAGCGTGCGCCACTGCAACTGGGTTAGATTTCTGCGGATTTCCCCGATCTTTTGCCCTGAAGTCAACCTTATCGGATCTTTGGTCAAAGGCGAACCCGTTTATGAGGTTATCCGCAATGTTGCAGCAAACACGGAATTGGTAGCTTACTACGAAGTGCTAAAGGAGGATCGTGAGAGCCCACATTTTCTTCTTGGAGCTCGAAGACTGACTGGAACTCATTACAGACACACGATCGACTTACTTTTAGAAGGTAAGGTTACTCAGAAAATCTGTATGACTTGTGTAAAGATTTGGAATAAGTCTTCTTGAGGACACAGAACGTCGATTAAATCTTTTTCTTTTTTTTTATAAAACAATAATGATGTGTTCAAAGTGCTCAAACAAAATCAATAGCTTTTGAGTTGATTATGTACGAATCTGCGTAGGGATATCACATACGATCAAAACTTGAACTGTAATACAGATATTCATTCTTGTTTCCATAGCACAGACGACTCTTGCCATCGGAACTGATAAACTGAATCACTTATAAACTCAGCAAAAAGTTTCTTCGTGATTAAGACAATGTTTAATTTAACGCTAATGCTCTAGTCCACATGCCTAACCTTATTAAGTGAATATTCCTGATACTTTGAGTGCGTTATAAGAGTGATAGTTAATCCCTTAGCGTGGATGGTGGGTGGTGGGGAACTTCTGACCGGCTCTCTTTCTTCTGGTTAGTAATTCAGAATGAGGGTTTGTTTTGTTTGTTTTGGATTTCGCGCAAAGCTACACGAGAGCTATATGCGCTAGCCGTTCCTAATTTAGCAGTGAAAGACTAGTGGGAAGGCAGCTAGTCATCACCACCCAACGCCAACTCTTGGGCTACTCTTTTACCAACGAATAGTGGGATTAATCGTCACAGTATAACGTCTCCACGGCTGAAAGGGCGAGCATGTTTGGTGTGACGGG